CCAAACCACCTGCAGGTTCCACAGCCATGGGTTCACACAACCCTACATCAAAATTAGGTGAGGAAAATCTTGTGCCTATACCAAGCATCTGTGAAGTTTTTCCTTGTCATTAGTCCCTAAATATATGGTGTAACAACTATTTACATGCTATTCTTTTTGCTTTGGGTATTTTAAGTAGTCTACAAATGATTTAAAGTGTATATGGGAGAGCTGGAGATACAGCTCAGTGGCACAAGCACCAGCCTGGCAAGTGCAAGGTCCTGAGTTCAAGTCCTAGTACCAAAAAGAAAAGTATATATGGGGGGTTTACATGAGTTACATGCAAATACCGTACCATTTATATGAGGGTTGGAACAGCCACAGATTTGGGTATATGTGGGAGCCCTAGAACCATCCCCCAGAGACAGCAAGGACAATGGTATTTTATGTCTTTAATGCCTGCCTCCCCCTCAAGATTAGAATCTCCCTGTGGAATGAACTGCAGGATGTAGAAGCATCTCACAGTTACTTTCCTCATCACTGGGACACAACACTCAACACCTACAAGTTAAAGGAGGAGAGGTTTATTTTGGCTCACAGTTTATAGAGGTTTCAGTCCAGAGTCAGCTGGCTCCATGGCAGAAGAGCATGACAGAGGAGAAGCAGTCCACAGCAGGGCATCAGGAAGCAAAGTGAGATCAAGGGAGGAGGAGGAAGGAGACACCTTTATAAACCACACCCTGGTGACCACATCCTCCAGCCACACCTCCTCTCCCAACATCACATTTAGCTATAAACTCACCAGTGGACCAATCCACCAATGAGTATCACCCCCATGATCCAGTCACTACCCAAAGCCCCACCTATGAGCGCATGAGGGTTTGGGAGACATCTAGCTATATACCATAGTGGGTGGGAAATCAGGAAAGAACGCCCTTTGAGCTGCGAGAATTCTTGGAATGAGAACAAAGTGCAGTTTCCATCTCAGCCCCTCAAGGAGACCCTTCCTTCCCCACAGCCAGAGTGGTGTGTTCCCAAGGGCTAGAGAACACATTCAAAACTAGCACAAGAAGGTGTTTTCATCTCAGCAATCTAGTGGTGAATTTGCCCTCATTTCCCACCCCCACAGCCACTACCCATGCAGGGATGGAGTTAGCACCTCCTTCCCCAACCACTCAGTACCAGAAGCCCTGAAGTGACACCATGGTGAAGAGAGGGAGGGCAGAAGGAAGGGATGTTTGATAAGAAAAGCATTTGGAGCCGTGCGAGGTGGCGCACACCTGTAATCCTAGCACTCGGGAGACTGAGGCAGGAGGATTGCTGCGAGTTTGAGGCCAGCCTGGGCTACAGAGTGAGCTCAAGGCCAGCCTGAACTGCATACTAACACCCTGCCTCAAAAAGCCAAAAAAAAAAAAAAAAATTTGAAATTCACCTCCCTATCTTGCCTTGTCTGAATATTTTATTTTCACTTAGCTATCTTAGGAATTGAAAGCTAGAAAATGACTATTTCTAGACGTGTTAATGGCCTCATGACTTCCTTTCATGTTCTGCTGCAGGAGCTAAATTAGCAATAAGCACTTCTATATTCATTGGCCAAGTTGTACCTTTATAAGAATGTGAAATTGGAAACAACTTAAATTTGAAATAATCAGTCTGATCGGGCAAATCTATTCTCATTTGAGAAAGCTCTTGTTCAAAACAATGCAGATGTTGATGCCAACCAGCAATGTTACATATTCCATTTCTTTGTATATGAGACCAAAATATATAAACCTGGGTTTGTACACAAACCTGGATACCTGGGTTTTAATGTTGGAGTATTTTTCTAAGAACCTAGTCTTTCTAGTATTTTAGTTTAATTACCTCCCCCCCACACACAAATGTGTGACAACAGTCATCTCACTCTTAGATTTACCATCTAAACATAGCATTTTGGGTTTTATAAAGAATACAGACTGTTAAATTCTTTACTTCTGTCAAAGCCATAAAGATTCTTCAACTAAATCTGTCATGGACTAGACTTGGACACATACTCCATGGTTAAGTTAGCCAGAGGTTCTTATGAATTAATGCTGGAAGAGAGCCTAAGTAATATCAGTAGGACACACAGATGCAATAAAGACATCCTTTCAAACAGTACCCTCCAGTGACAAATTCATTCGGAACATTTTAATCAGTTAAATGCTCCCTGGCATGAGTACATGTGCAGGATCCATCGAGGAATGGACTAACTAATCCACTAAACTTCCTTTTCACTCTCCTCGATCTTTCCTGAAAGAAAAAAAGAAGCGTAATATAAATGAATGAAGTGCTCAATTTAAAATCTACTGAGTTTCCACAAAAGGCTAGCTACCAAGCAAAACATTTATAGAAATAAGAAAAGCTCCCAGACTTGCTTTTTTTAAAGATGCCAAATATATTACATTGCAGCCTTGAATAATGCTGAAAGTTTAATTTAACTTACAAAAATACAGCAGTGAAATGACAGTGTAGTTCTAGTTTTTAATTACCCTGTAAGTAGATTAATTCCTTAGAACAAGAATTTCTGGTCTTGTGCATGCATTGACTAATATTAATCACTTCACTGCCAGAAAAGCATCACACATATAAATTAAGCCAGAGACTAGGTTAAGTCCTTTTTAATAGGTTCTCAAATTAGGATCTTTACTTTTGTGCCTGAGGTGAAAAAACAACCACTTCAAATCACCAGAAACCCAAACCTCTGCAACCACAGCACCTTATAACGGGTCCATCTCTGGTTCAGAATCTTTATGGAAATATTTGTCCAGAGAAGGTGCAATAGGAAGTCATTTGCACAGGTCATGTATTCTTCTATGAAGAACATAGATTCTTCTGCAAACCACTCAGATGATGACTGTGGGGTCAAATAAGCACTCAGAGGAAATTATTTCTAAGAGTAGAAGGTGGATGTGGTGAAATACATACCTCTTCTGTTTTGAGCAGATGATCTAAGAGCTAGAAACAAGAATGTAAATTCCTGGCTATCACTTCCCAAATTGCACTGAATACCCAGAATGTGTAAAAGATCCCAGCAAGTAACTCCAAGATACAGCCGTCTCAAGAAGCGTTATTCTGCCTGGGTTCCATGAGGGGTGTCTTATCCCACAGTTTGCCCATGAGCACAGAGCTGCTTAGACCTGCCTGCAGCTCCCAGGGAGGACTCCTTCCTGCCCAACACTAGCTGAATCAACATAGGCTGAGTTGGCACAAAGTGGCAATCTGGGCCTCTGGCTAAAGATGTAAAGAAGCACAAAAATTTGTGAGTATGCTGGTTTACATTAACATTAGATGTCTTCTGTTTTTTTTTAACCCCACTTTACACTTTAATTCAAAATCATGGCCACTAAAATTTTCTGACTTAGATGATTCTGTGCAATTCATGTAGCATCTACATTAAACAAAGGGCATCTAAGTCTAGTAGGTGAGCCATAGATGCGTCTCTCCCTAGGAACTGATGGGAGCTTAGGTCACACAGAAGGCTGGGAATTCTGAAGGTGACAGCAAAGTGGCTCCTCTCAGAATGGTGATGGCGAAAAGTTCAACACGGCACATGGTGGAGAATCAACAACCAGAAGAGATGCTGAGCTACTTGCTCAGAACAGATATTGCCAGCAGTGCCCTATAGCACCTGCCAGCTCAGTACAGACCCAGCAAGCACAGACAGGCTCCAAGGGTCCCAGACACACGCCAAAGGATAGGGCACTCTAGCCGTGGTACTTCTACCCATTTCAGACTTCCTGAAGACATGCAGTTCCCTTTTTCTAGTCCATATGGGCATGACTCTACCACAACAGGCTTTGGCCCACAGGCTAAGGCAGCAGCGTGAGGCTTTGTTTCACTAAAAACATAACAAAAATAGAATGCTGACCAAAGAGAAAACCAGACACCCATTTTTTATATGAATGAAATCATATTTTTGTAGAACCCTACTATGAATATAACAGAATTTTATAGATATTCAAATATATTCCATTTGCAAAAGTGTAATAAATCAGTACAATCACCCGAAAAGTATCTGTATCTAGTAATGTTGTTATGGCTTTTGTCTAGATGTCCCCCTAAAGCCTCATGAAGCCAGTACTAGGTGGGGCTTTTTCAGACTTGGCTGAATCTAGAGTGTGTGATTACTAAGCCAATCCACTGACTGGTTTGGCACTGCCCTAATTCTGGTAGCCTGGATATAATACAAGTGACCGAAAGAGGCTTGTCTTGCCCTCTGCTTGCTTTTGCTGTCTTCTGCTCACTGTTTGGACTGTTTCTCTTCTGTGATGCCCCTGTGCCATGTGCCAACCTGCCTACCACCCAGTTGATTACGGACTGAAACCTCCACAAACTGTGAGCTGACTAAACCTTTCTTCCTTCCTTCAACTTTGGGTGCCAGGTATTTTGTCTCAGCAATGAGAAAAGTAACTAAAGTAAACATCAGACAAACATATTCCCTTATCACCCAGCAATTTAGTGCAAGGCACAAGTGTAAAAATGCACACATGTGCTCCTGAAAGGCACGTGTAGGAAAGCTCACAGCAGCGCTATTCACAAAAACCAGAAATGCAAAACAACCTACAAGCCCATCAGCTGAAAAAGGGACACAGAAGTTGTGGATTATCTGTGCAACAAAATAGTCTAGAGCTACAACTACATGACCCAAAATGCATCAACCTCCCAAACCATGGGGCCTGAGGAGTCCAAACATGAAAGGGACAGTGTGTAGGATTCCACACAAAATAAGTTCCAAAGCAGGAAAATCCATTGCCTCAGAAGTCAGGCCCCTGTCCCTGCAGGGAGGAAGTGACAGGAAGGTGCCAGGGGTCACCGCAGAGGCTCTGTGTGGTCACACAGTGTGGTCACTTTGGGAAAATGTGTGTGGTTTACATCAGTGCTGTGTGTGGCTTTCTCTGTGTGTGTGTTAGACTTCAACAGAAATCTTATATTACAATAACCGAAAAAACTAAAGAACTCTCTTGACAAGTGATGCCACAATGATGATTCCTTGTTTCCAGGGCCCTTCCCACCACAGCTCCAAGGAAAGCACAGCCCTGCACGGCACACGGATTGTACAGCAGTATCTCCACTTACAGGAAGGGCACCAACATCTCATACTTCATGGAAAGCACCTCGCTTCCTCCTCCAAATAACCCCGTGAAGAGACTATTCTTCCTCTATAATGCAGCTTCACAGCTGGTCAACTCAAAGACCATGCTCCAAACCTCACAGCTACCTTCAAAGACCACTTTTCCCCCAATAAAATTCACTGGAGAAACCTGAGCTATTTAATCTTTCACAGCTGAGTTAATAACGAGCCTAACTACCTAAGTGTTGCCACCCAATCATCTTTCCATCCAATTGAGTTTGGAGAACAGAACTGACTCGGCTTTACGCACCACCCCTCACACCTGTGGTCTGGAGTGACTACCCCTGTGAGTGGTGTTAGAGGCATCTTCAGTCGATGTAATTAAATGAGAAGACTGCACTGGGGACAAGCTCCCTCTTTAAAGTTTGCATAACATAGCATCTGGCACATAGCAAGCTCCCCGTAAGCAACTGGTTATGCTCATTCGTATCATAGCAGGGTAACAGGCACCGACCAGCTGTAGGTTCCATGAGACTAAGATCTTCGCTCAGCTTTCATCACTGTATACAGATCATGGACTAGCTCAGTGCCCAGAGCCTAATAAATATTTATTTTCTAGTGAATGGACACTCACAGTTCGTGCACATGGAATGGTTCCTTTCAGTAAAAGTCTCCAAGATGAAAATGGAAAGCAACGAGCGACAGCCGGTTATTGCCCGGCTCACCAGTGCTGCGACCTCAGCTAGGTCTCTCAGCTTCTGTGGACGACAGTTCCTCCCTGATCACATGAGGTCTGAAGGAAGGTGACTCCGATGGTCCCTCCAAGCGTCTTGGGCCTCCGTGGTCATACCCAAGACCTCACACAGACACCCTAAAGCCAAGCCACTCCGAGAAGCGACCCAGGCCCCTCAGCAGTGCCGTTCCAGACCCAGGCTCACTCGGTCAGGGGAGAGAGAGTATTGCTGGGGGAAATAAATTCCGCTCATGTTTTCTTCTAAAATCCCCAACTCAGCAGACCTCTCTGCAACCAAGAGGCTCTACGGGTGCAAAGGCCCTGACCTGGGCAAAGCTGAGCCTCCATCCTGCACACCCTGGGATGCACAGGACCGAGGCTCAGCTCACCTGGAACGCACTATGGGTGTACAATGAAAACCAGGGTACTTCCAGTAGGATCGGCCCGCTAATGCTGAGAGATCAACAGTTGTGGGAGACAATTATTTGGATAATTTTACAATGAAAACAGCAATTCATACATTTAATAATTTCCTGCAAACAAATCCAATTACCAACTTGTTGGGCCTTCTAACTATGTGTGGCTGAATTACCTTATGGATCTACATCTGTTTGCTCTCTCAAACTCACACACTATATGGAGGCTCCCATACACACACACACACACACACACACACAGGGAAGGGAGAGGGGTTTCGGGTTCCATCCAGTCCCTACAGCCACACCTATACACGCAAAATCCATGTCCTCACCCCTTCTTTCCAGGTCTGCCAGGAGAAAGGAACAGACTGGGTGTGTCTTTCTTGTAGGTGTCCTTTAGGACTGCGATGCCCCATACATCTAATCTCTGAAATTCTGTACAGTTGAAATATCAAATTATACCTCTGCACCTATCCATGTCTCCAAATTGAGGAGTCCTGGGCTATAAATCACACCTACAGGTCGGACTAACACAGCCAACACCGCTTACTTAATCCTCTTCTGTCACAGACATACAAAAGGGACACTGACTGTCAGGGGACAGAGAGAACCATTTAGGTGTGCAACAGCTAACACACAGCTACGAGGTCCTGATGGTACGTGGCCCACTACTACCAAACTGCCCCGGTGCGGACTCTCTCCTCCGCAGGGACTGCCCCACACCTACAGGCCAGTGGGTTCAGTGCTAGCAGTTTGCGCCCCACACGGCCTCAGCAACCAGCTGGTACCAGCTGCCCTCCCCGCCAGTGCCCTTCCTGGCCCTGCTCTGTGCCCCACGAAGTGACCTTCCCAGCCCTGTCCCCCTGCTTCTCTTGGGGCCCTGCCAACGGGCAGGACCCGCTGACCAGAGAAAGACGGGACTGTTTCCCGATCTCTCCCCGCCAGGGCACGTCTCAAAGAAGCCGCAGCTCCCGGAGGACGGCCCTCATCACAGCTCTCGCCCGCTCTAACGACTGCCACCATCCTTGGCCTCTGCTGGCCCCAGGGCAGCCTGGCTCCTTTCTGGGGCCAGTCCCTTGGTGATTCACCGCCATTTGTTCAATACTTCTCTGTGTGACAGAGGGCAAGGAGACAGAAGTACGGGCTGAGCACCAGGGGCGCCTGGTGACAGAGGAGGGTCGGGACCAAGTCGGGCTTCCTGTAAGTCACCAGAGGGGCTGTGCAGCCAGCTTCCCTGCCAGGCTTAGCCAAGGGACAGAACAGCTCTTTGGGCCCGGTGTCATCCACAGTCCTGGCTTCCCACACTGCCACAGCAACAGGAGGTCTCGGGACAGGAGGAGGAGTTTAGGGGACGATGGATGTGCTCTGTGTAAAAGGGTGGAGACCAGGAAGTGACAAGCTACCCTTCACATCTCAGACATCTATGAAAGCGTCACTGCCTCCCTACACACACACACACACACACACACACACACACGTGCGTGCACATGCGCAAGCCCATGATGAAGTCTCCAGGGAACCTAGCATCAGCTAAGAAGCTGCGGTTAGTGGACATGAGCATGTCTGACCCAGAACAAGCTCATGCTACAGGCGGCCCTTTTCGCTACACAGGGCTTCAGCGCTGGATGGCAGCACCACCCGTCACTTCTAGGAACCAGAGGCAATTCGGGTGACCGTGGGAAACCACTCGGCTGAGTGTCCACCAGGCCTGGAGAAGGCAGTGATGGTGGCCCAGGTGGACAGCACATACACGGGACACGGTGCAATGCTGCTTGACCTGCTGGTCCCCTCCCTCGCCACAGGAGCACACAGCTCCCCGCAAAGGGTTCTCCGCTCGCTGGGCACACGAAGCCACGCTGAAGGCTCCTGTCGTCCTGCCCCTCCCTGCTCCTCTCCTCTCTCCACGCAGACAGACCCTCCTCCGTGCACTAATGCGACCCCAACAGCGTTAAGATGGTCTTAAAAGTGACCCCTGATACTCTGGTTTCTCTTCAGATCGTATAAATCTTTCACCTCTTACTGAAAGTGACCCCGTCCTCCCTCCCTGAAATTTGGGTTGCCTCGCTAGTAATTACAGAGGTTAGAAAAACAGGATGCGCTGCAGCTTGCGTTCTAGTAACTACCGATTTGTTCAGCTGATTATTTCTCTTCGGGAGGGGTGTTATTTTTCTTTCTTTCTGTATTATGTAACCCTGAAAATAGCAGGCTCACCAAGGAAATTTTGCAAAAGAAAACTGCTGTGCATGCACCTGGTCCTGACCAGCAACTTTTTAGCAAACTTCATGTTTTACAGCAGCTTTAGGTTTACAGAAAAATTCTTAGATCCTCTCTAGGAACAAAGTTCTTAGATCCTTTCTCCCAAGGCCCAGTTTCCTTCATCACAAATGCGCTGTCCTTTCGGGGGTACAGCATCATGATGAGCCAGTGTCGACAGAGTCAAGTTCTGTGTTTACCGCAGGTTGCTTTATGTGGCACGGTTCTTCAGGCTTTGACCAAGACAGGACGCAACTCTCCCACCATGCCAGGGTAGTGCTCAGAATGGCTCCACTGCCCCGAACATGCCCAGGCTTTCCTGTCTGTGCCTGCTGCCATCTGTGTCCCTCCACCCACCACGGACATACTCTAGTCCTTCTACTGCCCCTACCATTTTCCAGAACACCATCTCTAATGTAGAATTAGAGAGTATGATGGCATTTGTTTCCTCCATGTCTTCTGCATGGATGTAAACTTTCAGCTCCCTTGAGTGAACACCCAGGAGCACGGCTGCTGGCCACATGGTAGGGCCACATTCCAGACCCAGCGTCCAGGTGCTGAGGACGAGCGGGCTGCATGGCCCCACAGAGAGAGCATCTTCCCAGCAAATTACTGGGGTGGGACCGTCGGAAATCACCGAGCCCAGCTCCCCATCTGCAAACGGCCGCATGGTGGTCTACTGAGAGATGCGTGTGCATGTGCCCGAGACACACGGCTGGTATCGAGGGCACTCAGCACGTGATAGCGCTTAGGGTCGTCACGCCGCCGGCTCACTGCTGCAGGTCCACACTCATCATGGGCAAAGGCAGGTTTCTCTCGGTGTAAAAGAGAAAACTCCCGCTCAGTCTTACTCTCCTGCTCACCCGCCATTCAGTTCTCCTCTAATTTTCCTCTTCCCGATTTCCTCTTAAAGGCAGCTCACACCCTCCATCGCACTCACTCTTTCCCCCATGGCAACGAGGTCTTCTGCCCCACATCGTTTCCCAATCCCACCAACACTTCCCCTTGCTCATCCTATTTAACTCCTCAGCCATAATTAACGGTTGTAATTTGAACTCCTCTCTTCTTGGCTCCCGTGACGACATTCTCCCAATTCCTCACTCACCTCTCCAGCCACTCCCTCCCGGCCTCTCTGCAGCCGTTCCTCAGCCCTCTGAGCTCAGCGTGCGTTCTGCTGGATGGCCCCACCCAAATCCTCAGCTTCTACCCACTGCAGGACCTGCGTCTTCCTAACGTCCCTTCATGGTCTGGAAACCATGCACCTGCTGGCCGACACCCCAAACTCCTCAGGGCTCCCCACCTCTTCCATCCTGCCTCCCGTTCTGGTCCCTTACCCAGTCCCCTCACCCTATGCAACTTTTGCTCTCTTAAGGTGACCGTTTTCCATGTGGACACGGGGCTCCTACAAGAGTTTCCCAGGAGCCATGTGTGTAAGATGGCAGCAAAGGGCACAGCAGGCAGAGACGCAGACACAAGGCAGAGCCAGGCGTGCACCAAGCGATTCGTCCCTGCACACCAGGCACCCAAGTCGTGGATCTCAAATCTCTGCCTCAGCAAAATCACCTCTGTCCCATGCCCTGGACAAGGCTGGCACTGGGGGTGCTGGCAGCAGACGTTGCCTTTCATTTCACTCTCCAGTGCCTGGCATAATGCCTGGCATGGGGCACCCTGTCTTGCTACTTCCAGAAGTGTGGGAGAAAGGCAGGGAAGGACACAAAGGCGTGAGATCCTCTTAGGAGATGGATAGTGGAGAGAGGGTGGGCTCCACCTCAAGTGGTAGTGTGCGAAATCACATTAGTGCCGCAGACGGGGTTGACGTCGTAGGAGAAAACAAAGCAAAATGACAACACGTCTGCACCAGACAGGACACAGCTGGCATTTTAATTCATTACACTCATGGGTGCATGTCACAGTTTAAGGCTTCAGAATTCCAGGAAACATACTTCAAACCTGCAAATTACAGGACAGATGTGGGGAGAATGCCTCAAGATGTCACAAGGAATCACGGCTTGATCCCTTGTTTCTGGATGCAGATGACGAGATCCTCTTTCCGCACTGGTTTCTTTGCCAAGTTAAAATTTAAAAAGGTTCCCAAAACACACCTGCTTCAAGAGTCACATCTGCCCCAGGGTCCTCAGTGTCCCCCAAAGGCCAAGGCCAGGAGTCACGTTCATAGGGAGCTGTTCAGAGGTGGGCTTGGAGAGGGTCAGGTCACAGTGGGTTGTAATCTTCCAGGGCAGTGTGAGCCCGGACCCCTCTCTGCTCTCTTTTGCTGTGGGCCATGAGATGCCCCTCACCACAGGCCCACGAGCAATAAGACTGCCCAAGAGCCTGGATTCCCAAACCTGTGAGCCAAGATGAGCCTTTTCTTTCCCTAAGCTCATTACCTCGGGTATTTGTGAGGGAGAGCGCTGTCTAACATCATCTATGAGAAAGCGAAAGGCTTGAAGCTTATTCTAAAATAGATTCAGAAATCAGGACTTTACTATTAAAGCAGGTTTCAGAGTATAATCAGATGAGGCATGAGGGGCTGGGGATTTAGCTCAGCGGCAAAGCGCCTGCCTGGCAAGCGCAAGATCGTGAGGTCGGTTCCCGGTACCAGAGAAAAACCAAAAAAAAAAAAAACAGATGAGGCATGAAATTATTTGATCCAAGAAAGATACTTTATTGAGCTTACCTACACCCAAAGGAGATGGTGTAGTATGAACTTTACCTTTTGTTTAGGCACACCTTACCCAATTATGAAATATTTTCATTAATTTAGGCTTTAGCTATCTGAAGTTAAGTAATACATGAATAATTTTATGGAAATCATGAGTTATTCTAATCGGCCAATGTTTCTACCCTGGAAAAGCTTCCAAGAAAGTTTATCTTACATCCCCAAACAGAAAGCGACCTCAAACAGAAAGCAGTCCTGCCACCCAAGCCCTCACCCCATGACTTCACAAACTCACAGGGACATGGACGGGGCTTATGCCTACAACAGGGTGTTAAACACAGTCCATCTCTGCCTAGTCCTGGGCCGCTGATGGTCAGCTCCAGGAGTTGTGAGACCATGGCGCCAGGCATCCTCGTTTCATCTCTTACCCACTCTCCGCAGCACACTCAGGGCACAAGCAGCAAGGAGGTGGAGAGCAAGGAGACCTGCACAAAGCTACGGGGTGGGCGCCCACAGCACAGCGGGGTGGAAGGCAGGGAAAGGGCGGTGCTCACCCCCGGTGCGCTGGCTGGCTCCTATCTCTCCAGGCCCTGCCATCAGCCCTGTTCCTGCCCCTGGGGCCCACAACCCTAGGTGTCCCCCACCCACCACACTCTTGTAAACAGTCCCTCCGCTGACTTCTCTGCAGGCCGTGTTCTCCCCAGACCCTGACCCAGAGCTCACAGGGCCACTACAGCACCACTCAGCTCAGGTCCTCTCTGGGAATGCTGGCCCTCAGCAACAAGAACACCAGTGACTAAGTGGAGAAGGGACAGGGGATTTCTCTGGAGAGGAGGCATCTCCAGAGAAAATCTACACAGCCAACAAACGCAGGAAAGGCACGGGATACCACAGCCACTAGGGAAATGCAAACGGAAACCCAGGGGCATGTTGTTCCATGCTTTATGACTGCTGAGCTGCGCCATGCAGGAGCTGAGAAGATCTGTGACATGCCCTGTGCAAGCTATGGTCCCAAACTGTCACGGATCCAGCCTAGCCTGCACGCCCCCGCTCAAGGGTACACAGAGCGACGGGGTGGGGGGCAAGGGGAGAGCTCCTCCTCCTTCTGCCTTGTGCCGTGTCCTGGCTGCTGCTGCTGCTGCTGTTCTCGTTGTTCCACGCTGGGGACTGGTCGAGCCTGCCCACACTGGAGGACAAACTTCCACACCAAATCCACCAACTCAAACGCCAGTCCCATCCCGAGTTGCCCTCAGACACACACAGAAGCAACGTTCAGTCTGAACCCCCCACAGCCACCCGCATCGACACACAGGAACTCACCTTCACCCCTTCCAGACTTGCTCCATTCTTGGACAGTAAACTCATCCTGGAACACTGCAAATTCTGCGGACAACTTTGTAAAAACTCTCCATTTCTACCTACACTTTAAGTCATAATTTCCCCCAAAGTCGTATCTTCACATTTGTCTCTTTAGAGGAACATTTTCCAAATCTCTTCCTTGGAAAATGTAATACAAGTTATGAATTCCCAGTTATATTTGGCTGGAATTATTTTCCTTTTGTTCTAAAATGCACACTGCAACATCCACAATAAATATTCCTAGTGCACTACTTCAACGGCATGTTTAAAATGCTGTGGGTCCCTGCAACTGCTGACTCATAACCCCAAGGATGACAACGGAAACCATACTCAATCTCTGTACCTACTCTTCTTACCCACCAAGTGAGCGCATTTCCACAAGCAAATAAAGTAGCACCGACTGAGCCGCTTAGCGCATCTATTGAAACAGTACTTCACTGCCCAGAATGAGGTGACTGAGGGGGAACCTGTAACGTGAGGGACTCGGAGGGAGGGCAAAGTAAAGTGCGGCTCACAGGTACGCACAGGGACTGCAAGTAAAGCCAACACTGCTCTGACCGGCATCAAGTCACCAAGCTCCATTACGAACTTCATTGACCACCATTCCTGCCCCAAAGCTGCACAGCAAGAGTCAACATGGAAACTCTGCAAAACACGAATTCCTGCCCTGGGAGTCAGGCCCCCCCAATGCAGCACCCACCCCCCCTGTCCTGCTCTCCCTGCTGGCCTGAAGTCACACCCTCCGACACTCCGTCCCTCAGCTTCTCTTCCACACAGGCCTCGGCCTAACAGGAGGCCCTCGTGACTTCTGCTTCCACAGCTGAAAGACTCAGTGTTGAAGTCTTCACAAAACTGCACCCTCTACGCAGCTCCTCCATCCCCACGGTACAGGGATATGTGTTTTCCCAACTGAAACCTACAATCAACGATCTGATGCCTGTCTGGCTGTGAAACACATGAGATCTGGCTCCAATGGCGTAACTATGAAACCTGTAACTGACCTTCACCGAAACATTAAGGTGTTACTTAGAAGCACACAACTGGTCTGGACTAACCACTGTTCTGCTGCTCTTCGGTGACGAGAACTGATCTGGCCACACAAGACAGGGCCCTGCTTCAGAAAGCGAGTTCAGACCTCGGCGCGGCCACGTCACCTTCCCCATTTCCTCGCTCATACTGGTCTCCAAGGCCAGGCAGAGGTCAGAAACCCACAGGCGTGCAAGCCCCGTGTGACGGGAGCGGATCTGGCTGGTGAGGCAGCAGGAGGCAGCAGAGACGGGGGGACCCAGAAAGCAAGTGTCGCCTTCCAAAGGCACCACTGTGGGTGAACCCAGCGTCCCGCCCTGCAGAGATGCAGGCCCCGTGGGGCTGAGCGATCTTCCAGCTTAGCTAAAGCAACTGCCCATCACGACTCACTTGTGGTGTTATTGATAACGAATTCCATTTTATTTTTTAATAAAACCATTTATAGGCCAGTTTTATGGAAGCCCAGCCAAATGCACCTACAGGCCAGATGAGATTAGGAGAGCTCTATTTTTCTTTCTATGTGAGGTTCTCTGTCTACCCCGCCCCCCCGCCCCCGCCCGGTTTTTATTTGATAAACTAATGAGATTTCATAATTTACCTATTTTTCCATAAACGTGGCTGACAGGAAGCGTCAGGTGACATGACATGACACGACAGGGAAAATATAAGCTATAAGCCCCTCTTCACCCTTAAAGCTGCATGGCCTCAGGTAAGAGGCCTAACTTCTTGGAACATGAAGCTTCATTGTCTGTAAAACAGGGATAATTCCAGCTCTTCTAACCTGAAAGGCACCGTGTCATTTGAATGACACTGTGTAAAGGGGAGCACTCTCTAAGCCCTAAAGTACCCCACAGTTCTCAGGAATATGATTGTACTGTCCACCTCCCAAAAGGGCAGCTGAGGAGAAGACAGACTTTGGAATGGCAGAGTACCACTTATTAGAGAAAAAAAAAGAAAGAGAGAGAACATTCTCAGAACTGCCAATAGAGGTCAACAATTACCGTGACAGTGAATCTATCAAAATTATCAAGTTAAGTGCAATGTGGTTTCCAACCCCAACAATGCGTAGTGTACACATAGCCTTATCTAGTAATAGCCAGTTTAAACCCACCCCAGCCAGGGCCTCTAGACAAAAAGAGCCTTTGCCATATGTTACCTTAGAATTTAGGGTGCTTCACACACCTACAAGGAGTGGCTAAACCCGTGCTTGGTAAAAAAGCTCCAAGTAGGCTTCCCAGCGGTGGGCTGACCAAGGGGCCGCACGGCGCGTGAGGTCTGACAGCAGCCTCGAGCATCACTGCACTTTAAAACTGAGCCCAGGAAGCTCTGGCCCGGACCAAACCCCTTCCACAGTGCTCAGATTTGGGGCTCCCAGCTGTGTCGAGGGATCTCACCACCAATCACAGAAAATCCTGGGCTTCTCCATTAACCCCAAACAGCTCCTCAGGGATCTAGTCCATCCCGAAGTCCTCACCTGAGCGGTCCCCCGTTTGTATAAACTATGTCTCTCTGCAGCGCCAGGGAAGCAGCTTAGGCTTGCCAAGCTTGTTCTGAAAAGAGCCGGGTGGTAAATGTTGCAGGGCGCAGGGGCCACACGGCAGCTCTGCCAAGGTGCCCTGAGGGCAGCCAAAAACAGCACCAAAGCACCACTGGCAGCAGCACTGCAGCCAAAGCTTATTACAAAAGCAGGCGCGTGGCCACCCTGGTGGGACATTCACTTCCTCCACGTGATATGGGCCTGATCCTGAAGCGTTAGTGCAGAGCTATTTTACGACAACGATGCACAGAGAACTAACAAAACACATGCGATGCTCTGCACGCTGGGCTTCACTTTCTGCTCAGAGCTACCTATGAGCTGACTGGTTTCCCATCCTGCAAGTGCGGAACCTGAAGGCTCAGCAGTTTAACCCACCCGCCCCACGTTTAAAGGCTGGTCCAGGACCAAGCCAGGCGCACCACACCACAGGCTTCTCTGACTCGACCTCTCCCCTGCACCACACAGGAACTCCTAAATGCCTCTAAAAGGTCAGTGCTTCTCGGAGATACGCTGCCCCTCAAACTTTCAATACATTATGCTCATAAAACAGTATCTTTTTGTAATTAGCTGAAAAGAATCATGCTTTAAAAGAAAGAAGAATAGGACTAAATGCCATTCACTATCCCTTTATTTGCAATTAGGCCTAGAAAATTTTACTTACAAACTCTGAGAAGCAGCACCAAGCACATTTCCAAGGCAGTGGCCCTTTTTTAAGGAAAGACAAATCATTTTTCTGGTAGTTTCAGGGGGTCTCCTCACTTAGTACAAACAAGTCAGCAGAAATATTCAGCAAGTTCTCGCACTTACATGTGAAATACAAGTCTACTTTGCAAATTTAGCGAGTCCATCTCAGGGACCACCCAGGAGACAACTGTGAACCCCAATATTTACAAACCCAAATATTCAACAGGAAGAAACTGTGAACACGGTACTGTTTCTAAGGAGGATCTAGGACAGCATATTTAAATGGGCTATTGTAAATGTATTTTCGTAATATTGGAAGCATTTTTAAACTATTTCTTCAACTTCCTTCCTTCCACAGCCTGTAACTGTTGAAGGTTTCATCCTGCACATGAACATGACCATCTATGGTGCTAAAAGTAAATTAGTTCTAAACGTCTTCAAGATAACCAAAATTCTCTCATTACAGATTACTCTAAGGGTAAACGCAAAATTAATAAAGCACTCAAGAGTTTCTTTGTCTCCTAATCAGTAATATGCCACTAGCTACTGAAGCACAGGAAGTAAAACATGTTGAAACAAACCATTAAAACATGTTTAGATTTTCAAGAAATTGGAAAACACCATCTTCCACAGATCTGCCTAATCACTACACAGACTGATAAAAACAAATCCCCAACGTTCTCTGGAAAGCAAGATCTGTGCTTTGATAACACACTAGATCAGTGGTGGCAAACCTGCAGCACGCGAGCCACAGGAGGCTGTCTGTATCACGGAAAGCTCTAAAAGGTTCACCATTGCTGCACTAGGCGAAGCTTAATATAAATGCACGATTCTCCTTGGAGGGATATGGGAAGTATAGCTGGTGAAGTAAAATCAAAGCCCCAGTGCAGACCATCTTTAGCCAGAGGCCATTTGAGCTAGAGGTTCAGCGTTAAGTCGTGATAGAAATTCTGCGCTGTATGCCTCCTTTTGTAACCCTGACTTCACTGTCATTACATTAACACATAGATGCAGAGATCTGGAATAGATGCTGGCAGAAGGCTCGGCTCCCACCTACAAAGTAGCCAACAATTCCATCTTCAGGGAACCACTGTCCCCCAGCTCCACCAGCCCATGCCAGGCTTGCATCCCTCTGACCCCCTGGTCCCCTGCCTGCCTCCAGTGCCGCACGCGCTCAGGCCTGGTAGTGCCAACAACAGCAACATGAGCTCCGTCCTCCCTCTGCCAGGGCCTGGGCCAACAAATGCCTTTTGTGGAAGATGCTTATTTGCTCCTTGAAACAACCTGTTACACCTAAGTACTCAGTAAACTTTACGTGAATTAACAAATACACCAAATCATACGTCTGTAAATCCTACTTGAAATGGAATAAGGGGTTTGCACTTGCGAGACCGCCCCAGGGGCACACATATAATCATCCCGAGGAGCTTGACTGATTCCACCAGAACACAGGCGCAAAGGGGACGGATCCAAGGGAGGAACTCAAATCTCTCTTTGCAGAATGGTCCATTTGCAAGCTGATTTTCATTTTAATTTAAGCCAACAGTCATTTAGCTAAGGAAATGAGATAACCTTAAATGTCAGATAAGTAAAACTGTTAATCTGAAAAAACACGGACATTTAGAAGGCTTAATCAACAACTGCTGAGACTCACCTTTGGGGTCTGTGGCCACAGAGCAGGGTGGGGCCCCGGGGAAGCCCCTCCACACCGCGCGCAGCACTCTCCAGCAGCTCAGCTATGTTACAACTGTGATAAGATGTTCTTTATAAATTTAAAAAGCTCTTCAGGGAAAAATACCAGGCCAGGGGTACAGCTCACTGGTGAAGCGCTTGCTTAAAATGTGTGAAGTTCTGGGTTTGAATCCTAGTAAAACAACAACAACAAAGAAAATGCAAGCATGCAAATTTGCCAAGAAACGATACCCGTAATTTCATCACTTCAAGGCTGTGACTTTGGATCCAACCTCATGTTTATGTAGAAGGAACGAAAACCATGGCTAAGGCCCATTTCAAATATAAAGTGGTAGAACAGTTTATATCAATACAAATCCCCATCACTGGTGATTGCCCAAAGTAGTCAGTGACTTTCAAACTTTTGAGACCATCAAATTCTGGAAACAAAATTGGGGCTAAATTGAGGAAGAATGACAACGATTGGCCTAGTACCAGATGAAACAGACAGAAAGAAAAAAAAAAGAACGAGACACTAATTTCCTAGAAAGCGTGGGGGCGGTGACATTGAATGGACAGC